GGGGGGGGGGGGGGGGTACAAGTGCTATAAAACCTTGACCTAACATTTAAAAAAAATCCCTAAACACACTAAATGTTGATTTGTAAGAATGATTAAATGAATAATGTTTGGCTGAGAGGGATGACTAATTAAATTGTAGAGCAGGTGGGACCAACCAATCAGATGTCATGGTCCCACCTCCTCTACAATCTGATTGGTTATCTCTCTGAACCAATTATTTTTTGTTCTGCCCTCAAAATTTTTTGTGTAAGTAGAACTCCCAGGAGCTGATATTTCAGCCACATAAACTGTGACAGCTACCCCCCACTAGTAAGCAATAATCCCTGGCCTTACCTGCAGTCATCGCTTCCTGTGCTTATCACGTATTTGTCGTCGTAGGAGAAGCGTATGTTGGTCACGTGAGCAGAGTGCCCAAAGTATCGCTTGTGTTTGGCCTGCAGAGCAACCAGGCAAGTGGAGATCAAACTCAGTTCAATATTTTAGCCAAAGTAGGAGTTTGTTGACATGAAGCTCTGCTACGGGACTGAAAGTTGGTGCTTGCAAAACAGTATCTTGGTTTCCTATATATAGAAGTTTAAGCCAAAATGAAGCAAAACTGAACAATATGGACAGCAGATCCGTCCATCACTGATCACCACACACATCTGACAAAAAAAGCCTTTGGTGTTTTAAAAAGTCACTTACAAATTTCTCAGTGCAGGGGAAGTCAAAGAGTTTGACAAGGCCGAAGTCATCGCCAGTGACCACGTTCAGTCCGGCGTGTGAGACGCAGGCACAGTTCACGTCCGCTTTCTCCGCGTTGCGAGGCCAGATGCCCAGCACCTCCTCTCCCAGGGTGCTACAGTGAGACGGAGCGTGAGAAACCTGACGGAGACGCTCGTGAGCGGGTGTGAGAGCCCCACTCACCTCGTCCACGTGGCCCAGGTGATCCTCTCTACAAGCGGCTGCTCTGTCACCAGCTTCCCCGTGGGCACCTCGTGTACCTGTCGCTTGTATGTACCTGTGGACACCTGCCGAAGCCGTCAGTGGGCTCACGGTGAGTACAGCAGAAGCGAGAGCGTCACTCCAGCTCATTGGCCACCCCTACACTTCCACTACTATAAATTCAAATTCAAATTCAAAAAACTTTATTTGTCCCCGAGGGGCAATTTAAATTCTTAGTAGTTTTGGTTTTAGTGTCTTTCTGTGGTCAAACAGGAGACCAGTCGTCTGAGCTCCATGGGTATAAACGTGCAGCTGATTGACTAGGTACGATTACCCCCTCCCCCCACCCCGAGCATTCACTTAGCCTTGGTGTGTGTTATTCAGGCATGTTCCTCCATAGACACCCCTGGGGGTGGGATCTGCAGAAGGATTCCACATTAGCGGGCTCTCCGCAGGGGCACTGTGCTATAAATAATCATGACCTGACATCCCCAGGCCTAAAAATAACCACCAGCAGAGTCTGCTCAGCGACGGCGGCGAGATCTCTGCACGTGTGTGTGTGTGTGTGTGTGTGTGTGTGTGGGGGGGTTTGTTTATACCAAGTGTCCCCATAATTGTGATAAAACCCTGTTATTTTAACATTGTGGGGACATTTTTCAGTGTGTGTGTGTGTGTGTCTGTTTGGGTGTGTGTGTGTGTGTGCGTCTGTTTGGGGGTGTGTGTGTGGGACGACCGCAGTAAAGAGGAGAACCTCAAGGGTAGAGGCTGATTTCTACTTCTGCATTGAGCCTAACACCGTAGCCAGAGTGTTGGCTGACACACACCTCCCCAAAAAGGTGACTCTGCGTCACCATTGGACCCCTATGATACTGGCTGCCAGTGCTCCGGCAGAGCGGCGCAGGAATGCCGACACAGACGTACATGCTGGCTTAAACGCCGCAGGCTCTGCGTACGCTCAGGGCATAGGCTTGACGCAGAAATACAAATCAGCCAACCCCAACGCTCTTGGGAAGGGAAGGATGGAAAGATGAAGCTTGAGAGCCGGGAGGGAAATTTAACGACCATTTGCCAAAATAAGAGTTAATACACAGAAATTCCAGCTGGAGAACAAACTGTGCATTCAGATGAACAAGTACCTGAATGTACTTGTTGTCAGCAGAGAAATCCATCTGGATGACGAAGCTGGGGATGTCCTTACAATAGCCGATGCGGCTGAGCGACGGCCCCAAAGTCAAGTCGTAGAAGTCGACCGTCTTCTCCACTGAGCCCACGGCCAGGAAGCGGTTATCGGGGCTAAAGCTGAAGGGGGGGGGCAGGGACAGAGTGACCCCAGATCAACATGGACACTTTGACACAATTTATAACGGGCGCTTCATGCCGGCCAGGTTCAGAACTGGACGTGATGTAGTGTTGAATCTTCGTTGTATATTGAGTTCCTTGTATTAGAGCCATTTGTAATTTTGGTACTGTAATATTTGTATTATTTGTTATTGGTATTTAATTATTTTCTTACTGTCCGGGAGCAACTGTAACCAATAATTACCTCAGGGATCAATAAAGTATTCTGAATCTTCATGGGTATCAATGAACTAGATGTAGTGAAGTTTCCGTATCAGAAGTCTGATGTTCACTTAGCAGGTTAAATTGTTTTTAAATAATGATGATCATGTAATACTGTGCACTGAGCAATAAGACCATACAGCTAACACACCACCATACATCTACACTTCCTCACCGTTAATTATGGTATCAAATTAACGTGGTAAATCTTTAGTACAGTATGTCGCTTCCTTGCTAATGTAGTTTATTGCCATGGTTACCATTATGTCAGCCAGCACAGCCAACGTGACGGCAGTGCTTTAAGTCTTTCTTGTTGGCTAGCTCACCGGATGTCCTGGATGGCTGTGCTGCGGTCCCGTTTCTTGCCCCACACCTTGAGCGAGTTGACGAGCAGGACGATGAACTCTCCGTTCTTCATGCCGATGGAGACCATCTCGCCGTCGGGGCTGTAATTGGCACACTTGGCTGCATGCCCCAGACTCACCTTGTTCAGCAGTTTCTGATGGTGATTGGGTGGAGGGGGGTGGGGAGGGCAGACGAATCAGTCAGAGGGGCAGACGAATCAGTCAGAGCTGACAAGAACACAGTGCCACGAGAGAAACCGTCTGCGCAGCCATAAGGCGTCGGCCCAGTCAGCATACGGAATAACACTGACATTAGGTCATCTGATGAGGTCATCGGGACACAAAACAATAAGAACACAATGACCTCGACTTCACAATGGCAAGACATCCAAAAAGTATCAGCTGTGCATTTCCACACTTTAAACCGCCGTGCTAAACGCAACAATCTCTGAGGTGAGTCTGTGGGAGTCGCCCAGTCCCCACGTACAAAGAGGCCGGGCTGATGTCCCGCCTCCCACCTTGTCGGCCAGCTCCCAGATACGGATGGTCCCGTCGTCGCTGGCGGAGATAAACATGTCCTTGGCTGGGTGTGTGGCCAGACCCCAGATCTCCCCCTGCATGTGCCCGTTGCTCAGGATGTTGGAGGCGGCGTTCTTTTCTCCCACCTCGATGATCTCGCCGTCCTTGGTGCCCACCAGGATTTTGCCCTGGGGGCAGGTGGAGGCCATGTCATTTGAGAAGGGATTTGACCCCGTGAGCCGCACCCCAGTGCGTGCTGGTGCCCGGGAGCGGCTCCTCACCTTGCCGCGGCACACAGACCTCACACACTCCACCGGCTGGCCCGTCTCCAGCTGGAACGCCCGACACCGCTTCAGCTCCTGGTCCCACAGCTTGACGGCCCCGCCCTCCTTCGTTCTGCGTCAGACAGACAGACCCTCCATATCCGCTACAAACACGCAGCACCACCGTTCGCCACCAAGGCAACGATCCCATTCATCCCACAAATAGATTTTAAGTCTTGTCTAATATTAATCTACAAAGAATTTTTAATGACGGAGGATTATTTAGTTGCAAAGTTAGTCTCAGTCACACCAGGGTGAGAGAACGACTACATGACAGAACGTTTACAGCTGCCCTTCAGGAACGATTTCACACAAGCGGATTGTCGACTTGCTAGAAAGTGCGCTCACTGAAATGTGCCGTATTTCCCCTAAAGCTGATTAACCAGGGTGGTGGGGGGATACAGGTCACTGCAGGCAGGTGGCGCTGTGGTGACCGCAGAGGGTGACAGGAATGCTGGGGATGCCCTAGCTGTGACCTTAGGTATTCCGTTTCACAGATGCTGCTCATACTATTTTGGACGGTCACATGACACCGGACTCACGCAGCCCTAAGCTCAGTCTGACAGCCGCGCAGAGAGAAGCGGGCGAAGCCGGAAAAAGACGCCGTCAACAGGCCGACGTAGAAACATTCTGGCATGAAATGAGTCTCCTGCATCCCAAGCATGCCTGTAATGTCACGTTAAGGCGGGCAGTTTGGGACCAGCTGTGCGTGTAAATGCGCAGAATTGGAGGAAATTCGCCGTGGCAGAGCTGAGACTCACGGCCTCTCCTTCCCGCCGGTGACGATCAGGCCGTCCCGCAGCGTGGTGTACATGGTGAACACAGGTCCTGTGTGTGCCTTGGCCACCACCCGCACCAAGAAGTGCTCCCGCCACACGTACACATCTCCGTTTATTGCACCCGTGAAAGTGAGGTTGTTCTGCGGGGACAGAAACGGCAGCGTCAGCACGGCATGGGACAGACCAATCACCAGTTAGATGCAAACGCGTTAACAATACAAAAATAACCACAATGAAATAAAACCAAATAATAACCAAAATAAAAAAGATAATCAAGGTGGCGTGGTCCAAATGCAGTCCTACCTGCTCCAAACGGATTGTGCTCTTACTTAGTTAAAAGCACTTCGCTGCATAAATGTAGTGTATGTTTGCGCATGTGACAAATAAAACTTGAAACTTGAAAAATGTACCAAGTGATTTGAGTGAAATCTCAGAATCTGCCTCCCGGACAAACACACAGCTGTAGAGGGGATTAGGGCAACAATCACGCCTAGAATTGTCTTTATTTCGGTCTCCACTAGGTGGCGTAGTGATTCAGGGGCAGCACTCACAGCACCGAAGGCCACTGACAGCATGCTCTGCATCCGCGCCCCCTCCAGGCAGCCCAGCACCCCCTTCTTGTACATCAGCGAGCCCCCCGCCAGCGTCCAGAACTTGACGTGCTTCACGCCCACGGACACAAACTGCGAGTCCGAGTCGGGCCGGAACTCCACCACGAAGATGCGGTCCATGTGGCCTGTTCTGCTCGTCACTTTGGCACCTAGGAGGATCGGCAGAGCGGATCCCAGCGGGTCAAACAGAAGATCTCGTGGGCTTGATGGACAAATACTCTCAAATACTGAAACAAACAGAACCATTCTTGGTGGACCTGCGTACTAAGTGGGCTTTCCAGGTGTCAGAAACCAACTCAAAACGGTTGAGATTTCTAAATTCAATGCTTAAATAAGCTAAATCAAGTTAACTATATAACCATTAGCCTAATATGCTAACAATCAGAATGCTGAAGCCTAATTGAAGTTAAATATTCTGAACAGACAGTGACAGTGATGTGACACAGTGATTTGATTCAAGGGCATCGGTTTGCTCTCAACATTGGTATCAACAAAATCAACCCCCCGCCTTCTACGCCCCTGATTTGATTCGATGTTAGCCAAATGTCTGGACAGACCAAGTACTTGCTAGAAATGCTAACAGTGTAAGTAGCAGCTCGCTAAGCTAGCAGCCTAAGGGTGCGCCGGCTTAGCGTGCGAGTTGGCTCACCTTCCTGCCAGCGCCACACGGTAATGGTGTGTTCAGGCTCGACGCCGACTGTCAGCAGCAGTTTTCCCGTGGCGCTGAAGTTGATGTAGCCAATGCCCTTGGTGTGGGAACAGCGCAGGATGGAGAGAGTCTGCTTGCTCATGGCGTCCCAGATGTGGACAGATGGGGTGGTCCCTGGGGAGGAAGAGCCCGTGACTGTCGAGGACGTCTCGAAGGATAAATCACTCGGCTGCGATAGCGTGACGGACTCTTGCTGATAGGGCCCCGACCTCCCACCTCCATAGTTTTACACCCAAAGCAATATGGCCGCCGGCAGATAGAAAAATGCACCTGGAGCTTGAAGAGCTGCCCACCCCCCCACCTTCTTTCCAGGTAGGTAGCGGAGAGCGTCAGCACCTCTCCTAAAGGTACAACAGCGCTGTCCCTCCCAGCTTTCAACTTTTCACTTCCCCTCAGAGCTGTACTCGACTGGAAGTTAACGGATGGACTTATGTCACAGAATGACAAGGG